CCTCTCCTGTCCGGGTCATCCCAGCCTCGGCTCCAGCTCAGCGTGAGCAGTGCCTGGATGCTTCTTGGGAAACAAGCTCAGTGGCTCTCGCTAAGCACAGGCTCCGACTGCCTGGGAGGGCTTCGGCCTCCATTTCCACAGTTTCCGGGGGAGGTGACGCTGCTGGCTGAGGACCACTGCGTCCACAGCCAGGCTGGAGGAACAGGACAGAAATTCCATCAAAGCGAGAACCGCCAAGCTCCCGAGCAGCACAGGCCTGCCTCATCCCTCCCTGTGCCCCCAGGAGGAGGCAGAGCCCTGCCAACCCACTGGGACCCCCACACAGCAGCATCCTGACCCCTTCTCTGACCACCAGAAGGGCAGGCCCGCTCTCAAGAACATTCCTGATCGTGGGGCTGAGGCAGACACAGGGAGGAGAACAGGACGGGAACGGGTGAGGGACCGGACAGAGCCCTCCAGTGTCTGCCATCCAAAGGGAAAGAGCAAGGCTCCTACAGCCCAGTGTGGAGGAGAGCAGGGGACAGCATGGTGGCGCCCAAGGGTGGGGCTCTTGCTCCTCCTGCTGGTCAGGGCACCAGCCCTGCTCTTTCTCACACAGCCAGGCTGAGCCCCAGCCTCCCCATACTGTGTAGCTTACAGGCTCAGCAAGAAGGCCCTGATAGTGTCCTATCTTCCCAGGAGGCAAGACAACATCAGCCTGAATGCCACTGCTGTTGAGAGTCAGGGCACAGCTGCTGGGGAGAGCTGGGCCTGGGTCAGTCAGGGGAGAGAGCAGAGACATCCGCCCAGCCTGGGGAGAGCTGGGCCTCACTGTGTCAGGCAAGGGTGCAGTGGGTCACCCCATTGGACACCAGTTGAGTAGGAGGCACGCACCACCATGTGTGCACATGTAGGAGTGAAGAGAAGCCTCAGGGAGTGGGGCAGAGGCCAAGAGGCCGGCACTTCTGCCCATAGCATGCTGGGTCCGGGAGCACAGCAGGAAGAAGCAGGCACAGGGGCCAGTGGTGTCTGCCACTGAACACCGCCCGGCTGTGGACTCCCCCTGTGTCCCCAGAGCAGGACTCCCTCTCCTACCTATAGGGTGTCAGCACAGACTCAAGATCTAAGTAAAACAGAGACAATGTCCAATTTCAGGCACCACCTGGAAGGAGAACACAGGAGCTGGTGGCCTCCTGGTCTGTGGGAAGCCCGGCTCCTCAGGTTCTCTATGCCCCATTGTAGGTGTAAGTTGGGGCCGAGGCCACCTCTCTGCCACTTTCCCTATTATCCTCTCCGCACTTGTGTCCAGCGTGGAGCCATGAGCCACCATGGAAATGGGAACCTCTCAGGGGTGCTCTGGCAGGAGTTTGTGCTCGAGGGCTTCCGGGGCAGTGTGGAGACCCAGGCCCTGCTCTTTGCTGTCTTCCTGGTCCTATACACTGTGACCATCCTGGGCAACCTCACCATGATAGCAGTCATCACCCTGGATGCCCAGCTGCACTCCCCCATGTACTTCTTCCTCAAGAACCTGTCCTTCCTGGACGTCTGCTACTCATCTGTCATTGCACCCAGAGCCCTGGCCAACTTCCTCTCCTCCTCCAGGGTCATCAGTTTTGGAGGCTGTGCTACCCAGCTCTTCTTTTTCTCCTTGTTTGCTACCACTGAGACTTTCCTGCTGGCTGTGATGGCCTATGACCGCTTCATGGCCATCTGCAGCCCCCTGCGCTACCCCGTGACCATGTCCCCCATGATGTGTGCCAGCCTTGTTCTCAGCTCCTACTGTGCAGGCGGCCTCAACTCCATCGTGCAGACCAGCCTCACGTTCCAGCTCCCCTTCTGCCGCTCCCACCACATCGACCACTTCTTCTGTGATGTGGCCCCGCTGCTGCAGCTGGCTTGTGCTGACATATCCATCAATGACTTTCTGTTGTTTGGCCTCTGTGGCTTCATCATTGTCAGCACTACAGTAGCCGTCCTTGTGTCCTATGGCTACATCACGGTGACCGTCCTCGTGAGGCATTCTGGATCCAGCAGGCCAAAGGTCTTCTCCACCTGTGCCTCCCACCTCACCGCTGTGTGCTTGTTCTATGGAACGCTGTTTGTCATGTATGCGCAGCCAGGGGCCGTGGAGTCCAGGGAGCAGGGCAAGGTGGTCTCCATCTTCTACACCCTGGTCATCCCGATGCTCAACCCCCTCATCTACAGTCTGCGGAACAAGGACGTGAAGGACGCTCTGCGGAGGCTGCGGCAGAGACGGGCGACCCTGTGAAGGGTGGTCGGTGAGAGACAGTGTCCTGTAGGGGGAGGGGTGGAAGGAAGGGCACTGAATGTCACACTTCCTGTCACCAGAACAGCTTCTGTGGGTTCTATGTCATCCTTGTTCACTTGGGCTTTTTCTTTCTTTCATCTAGTCTCCTATACATCTTTCCAAATCTCAGGCTGTTGCCAAGTGTGAGCATAGTCTGTTCTTTTCTACCACAGAAATGATAATTTGGGGGTGGTGCCAGCCCAAACCCCGCACCCTCAGGAAACACACTGAGCAGGTCCTTGAGCACAGAGCCCTGGTCCCAGGAACCACTAGCACCATCTCCGGGGCGGACCCAGGGCCGGGGCCTTTCAGTGAGCCTTTCTTTCTGCCTTATGACTTAATCCAGTAGCAACACATCTATGAAATCCTGCACAGAGCACTCTAGATAAGGACTCAGGAGCTGCAGGTATGACCATCCCTAAATGATGCGGGGTTACCACTGTGCCCACTGCAGGGAAGCTGGAGCCATGTGCTGCTCCCTTTCTTCAGGGGTGAGTTGCTGGCATTCACCCTTCACTGTGTTCATGGTGCCATCAAGTCCTACAGGGCCGCACAGTACCTGTGCTGCTGCCTAAGATGCCCATCCTGCAACTGGCACCCTGACATCTGCTCAGCACCCACTAGGTGCCAGGTAAACCATGTGGCTCCCTGGTGCTCACATCCTGGACTCAGCCTTCTTTGCTGCTGATCAGAGCAGGCGATGCTCCGTCACCACACACCCTCCTGAGCAAGGCACAGTCTTGAGGTGGTGGCACAGAGGAAGGAGGAAGGGAGGAATGGTGCCGTTGCTTGGTGCCCAGTTCTTCTGCTGAGCCTGTGCTGTCTGCACCACTGAGGCCCCCAACCTGCGGCTCAGGATGGACCTTCCCATGGTCCCCTGCCTTGTGACCAACCCCACCTGGCCAAAGCCCCTTGGCTTCCTCCATATGCGCCCATTTACTAGTGCTGACCACTGCACGCTCAATGCCAAGAATCCCAGGAATGATTTCTGATCTCTCCTCTGCACGTGGAAAGGTCTATCTCCCTGCTGTGGTGGTTGGCGCCATCCCAGGAATGTATACGCATACATATATACTATATGTATGTGCACATCTTTGTATGCTTATAGCTATATACATACATATTTACTATCTATAATTTGTTTGTCATTATGTTAATTTGAAAAAAGAATATATGTTTGTCTCAACCATGCTAGTCATGTGTTCCATATAGGAAACAAATTACACAAATGTGGAATTATCTTAATTCTGCAGGAATCAATTAGTGATTCTACTATGGAGAACTAATCCTGACTTTGAATTATCAGGAAAACTGGCCGCACTTTCATTGGAACACTAATGACTGAGTACTCTGCAGGAAGAGGCCAAGTAAACAAACAACCCCACCGAAGCTAACGTGAGGCACTCTTGCACACTCCTACTTTCAGTTGGCCAGCTCCACTGCCCATGGTCGGCACTGGTGCCCTTTGCCTGTGATGCCAGCAGTGGTGAGGCAGGTTGATGCACGAGGCCAGTCCAGCAAGACAGCTTCAAATGAGAACACTCGAGCGGCTGGAGACACAGCTCAGGGAGCGCCTTGCCTTTGACCCACAGCATCACACACAGGCAGCACGTTGCCTAGCTTGCCGCATGCCCTGTTTTGCACATTAATACCCTAAGCCAGGCACTTGGTGAGATTCCCGGGCTAATGGCATATTTGGGCAATTATTATCAAGTCTCTGGTGCTAAAGCCCAGCAGCACAGTTCTGGACAGGTAGTGAGACTCAGCAGAGTACCCACTTCTTATGACCCAAACAGCACATGACCGATTTTGGCCTAATCTGTACTATTTTTCCATAATTTCTTGTTTCATTTCTGCAGCTCACCATGTTGCACTCTGCCGCGCACTGCTCAGTTGCACTCCATACATTCACGCTGCTGTGTAGCCTTCTCCAGAAGCCTTCATTCTGCCCAACTAAACCACAGCTCCCTTTAGGCATCAGCTCCATCTCCACCTCTGCCCAGGCACAGATAGCCCGCGCTCCACCTCTCTTGATACCATCCTAGCCCATGTAAGTTTGCAGACTGGCATTGCTCTGCTGACTCCCTAACTGTGCTTAAGAGAACACCACTCTGCACGTGCATGACCTCCTGCTGATCACTGTGTAGGGTGAACACTCAGATGCTTCTGCCTCTTGCCCACTGGAACAACACTGCGGCAAACATGGGAGTGGAATCATCTCTTCAAAGTCCTCTGTCAGCGCATCTGGATGTGTGCCCACATGTGTGACTGTTGGGTCATCCAGCAATTGCTTTTCAAACATTTGAGCTCCCTCTAAACTACCTCCCAAGTGGCTGCATCATTTTTCGGTTTTACCTTGCTGCACTGGGGTTCCAAATTCTTATCAGGCCCACCACTTGGCATTTTCTGTAGCTTTGGCAATGGAGGTGAAGTGGTATTCCACAGTGGTTTTGGCTTGAATTTCTGTAGTGATTATTGTTGTTGGCCGGGGAAATGGCTCAGTAGAATAAGCGCTTGCCAGCTAAGCAAAGGGCCTGAGTTCAATCCCCGGTTCCACCAAAAAAAAAACTGATTATTGTTGTTGAAGATCTTTTTATGCATCTATGGCCAGCCATGTACTGTAGGAAAGCCATTTATTCCAGCCTTTTGCCTGTTTTTCACTGGAGGCACCTGTGTGTTCTGTTTGGTCGCCTGAGCTGAGGAATTCCCAATACATTCTGAATGCTAACTCCTTATTAAATGCGTGACATGCAGGCAGTTGCTGCAGTTTCACTGGACGACTCCGCTGTATCCACCCTTCGCCGGCTTTGCAGAGGCTGTTAGTGGACTTCCTTGCCTCTCCACCTCCCAGTCACATCCAGGTAGTTCTGCCCACTGCCACATGTGGTTCTTTGCACTTATTTTCATCTAGAAGTGTTACAGTGAAGTGTTACAGTCACAGACCAGTGGTTAGGGCTGATCTATTTTGGCCTGCGGTTTCTGTATGATTTCTGAAAGGCCCAATTACATCCTTTCTACATCCTTTCGTGTAGATATCCAGTTTTTTCAGTACTACTCATGGAAGAAGTTGCCCTTTCTCAAGTAGAGTCTTACTCTCTTGTTATAAGTCACATAATCATGAATGCCAGATCTTATCTGTGATCTGTTATATTATCCTCTTGGTCTATATGTCTGTCTTTTTTTTGGTGGGGGGATGCCAGGGATGGAACTCAGGACCTCCCATTTGCCAGACAGGCACTTATGGCACTCAGCTATCTCCTGAGCCCCTCATAAACCACTCCTGTTCAGTATACCTTTGTAATATGTTTGGAGTCAGTAAATGTGACCTCCAGCTCTACACTTCTTAGCTGCTTTTGTTATTCGGGGTCACTTGATAGGTCATGTGCAGCTTAGGAAGGAGTTCTATTCGTTTTTCTTTATGCAAGCAACTTCCATGATGATCTGGAAACATTGTATTGAATCCGTGGGCTGCTTTATTTAGAAGTGATTTTTAAAGACTATGAAGTCTTCTAATCCATGGATATGGAATGTGTTTCATTGACATTTGTCCTCTTCAATTTCTTACAGCCATGATTAGCAGTTTTTAGTATACATGCAATTCCTCAGTACATGCATAGACTATGAAACATTTATTCTTTTGATTCCATTATAAGTGGAATAGATTTCTAGACTTCTTACCATTCATTTTTGCCTTATAACAATACAGTGAATTTTTGTGTGTTAGTTTAATAAGCTGATATTTATAACCCTTTATGGTTTCCTACATATCAGATTGTGTCACACAAATGGTAATTTTCCTTCTTCCTTTCCCATACGAATGTTTTTGTTTATTCTTACATAATTGTTCTGGCTAAGATTTCCAGTGGTGCTAAACAGAACTGTAACAACAGGAATCTTTATCTTTTTCCTGGTACCTGAGGAAACATTTTCAGTCTTTCACCAATTAGCATTAAACTCATCCTTGGCTTTTCATGAATAAGTTTTATTAAGTGAAGTAATTTCTTTTCTAAATTTTATTTTATTTCATTTTGAAGAGTAAAAACAGAAGTAAAAACAAATACAAAAAAAAGGAGAAACAGGGTAACATACAACAATGCATATGTTATAGATTTTCAAAACAGGAATAGCTAATTAACAATGGTTGTTATATTATCTACTTTTATAGTCAAATCTGTTGCTCAGATTAACAGACATAATTATTCAAGATTGGGGAAATAATTGAATATTGGTGCTTGCTTTCAAGAAATCTTCATTTTTCCCTTTTCTTTTTTGTTTTCATTTATTTTAAGGAGAATATAATAACTGATAATTAGAAAAGGTACACATTTAGAAGACCAAGATGAGAGGTGTTCAACCCTGGGTTCTGTATTACACACTGCTGTCCTCGATGTAGTTGCTCAGACCACAGATATCAGTATACAGAGTTGGTCAAGGTGAAAATTCTAAACATTAACTGCTATTTTCAAAAAAAGATGGAAATTGTGAGTACAATCACCTCAGCCAGCCTGTACACATACTTGCATGGTTTTCCCTCATTCCTTTTTTCCTATTTTTTCTCCTTTCTCTCATATTAGTTGTTTAATCCTTAAGTTCAGTTTCTTTCCATTTTACTATACCAATCATACCTTTAGCATTTTACTTCCTGGTGTTCCCAGTGTGTTATATTTATTGTTCCACCTCCATCTCCCTTAAGTCGTCCAAGTGTGTCCAACTGTATGGCTGCTTTTTCCACATCAAAAAAGATGATCATTCATTCTGCCTTCAATCTGTTATGCCTGACTGCCTGTTCATTTTTATGCAACGCGATCTTGCTGCATCCTGTACAGCTCTCAAAGTTCCCCAGGGCAAAGGATGGCAAGGATGGAGAAATAAGGGACGGAAAGCTGAGGTCAGGTAGAGCCCTCTCTCCAGCTGGGAGGAAAGGAACCGATCAGCCACCTCAATTATTTATTTATATTCGG